CAAACTGGGCTGTTTTTCATGCTCATCTTCTGCCTCCTGCCCCATGTTCTCTCCCCACGCTCTTGTGAGTGTTTTATTCTGCAGCCAGGTCCAGACCACGAGGCCTGTTCTGAATAAAACAGCAAAACCACCACCTTGAAGAGAAGAGGAAAACAGCTTGTTTCCATCTGGGGCTTGTTGGGAGCACTGAACATTTCACATGGGAGCCCTGAGAATTTGGGAGAAGCCCAGGGGAAGATACTGGGCTGTTTGTTCTCAGAGCCCAGAGCTTTGCTGGTGTCACACGTGCCAGTGCCAGCCCTGGTGTCAGTGAAACCCTGAACAGTTTCCCCCAAAAAACTCCCGACAGTCCAGCTGAGGAATTCTCTGCAGGTGTTGTCAAACAGTTTCGTCATTCACCCAGCACCATCAGGGGTACTTGCAGAAGTGCCTGGGAAATGGGAACATCCCTGTGCCAGTCTGAAATCCCCAAATCTATCCTCAGGTTCCACAGTACTCCCTGTGGGGTTGGTTGCACATCCCAGCAAAAGAAGCCCAAGAATTCCTGGAACACTGAGGGGGGAAAGGCCAGAGAGCAAGGGTTTGTGGAGGGAGAGACTGATGTGAAATGCAGGATGTTTCTGGCAGAGCAAGCTCAGAGGTTTTTGCTGGTGAACCATCACAGTGACAGATGTGTGGGCTCACAGAGGGGTGGGTGTCCCAAAGCTGTTTCTGGAGGGGTGGCCCTGAGCTCTTGGTCCAGGCTCCAGCTCTGAGAAGTTCAGTGTAGGAAAGTCCAGTTGTTTGCCCTCTTCCTGAATTTTTTGTAACACTTCAGGACCATCACTGTTTTTCTGCTGAAATAAATGTGTGACAGGCTTTTTGCAGCTAACCCTCAGTATGCTGAGTCCTGGTGAATGCTTGCTGGGACTCTCCAGGACACCAATCCCAGGGCAATCATGAGGATCTGGGATGCCTGCAAAAGCCCTCCCTCCAATCACCTCCTCACCACTGCTCTCCAGGTGTTTCCTGTGAGGAGGCAAACGAAGGGTCCTTAATATTGCATCTTTCACCAGGCAATCAGGGATTCTCTCAGCAGGGAAGGTTGTTCATCAACAATTCTCGTGACAGGAGAAGAGGGAATGGCTTCCCACTGCCAGAGGGCAGGGTTAGTGGGATACTGGGGAGGAATTCTTCCCTGTCAGGGTGGGCAGGCCTGGGAGTTTTGGAGAAAACCAGGGGAAGATACTGGGCTGTTTGTTCTCAGAGCTCAGAACTTTGCTGGTGCCACATGTGCCAGTGCCAGCCCTGCTGTCAGTGTCACTTGGCAGTTACCTTCCATCTTTGGGGTTCAGCTTTTGGATAAATATCTGCTTATTTCCACAGGGTGCCCAGAGAGGCTGAGGCTGCTCCTGGATCCCTGAAGTGCCCAAGGCCAGGTTGGACGGGGCTTGGAGCACCCTGGGACAGTGGAACATGTTCCTGGCCATGGCAGGGGTGGCACTGGATAAATGTGAAGGTCATTTCTGACCCAAACCACTCCAGGGTTCTGTAATTCCCCCTGTCCCTGTGGCACCTAGAGACCAAGCTGGGCTGTGGAGGTGCTGTATGGCTGCAGTGGGATGCTCCCAGAGGAGCACTGCGTTCCTGCAGCTCTCAGTGCCATTGTTCCTGGGGGAATGGCAGTGATGGGGCCCATGAGAGGGGAGGCAGCTCAGCCTTGGTCCAGCTGAGTTTTGGAGCTCAGTTCTTCAGCAGCTCCTTTCAGCCTTCACAGATGGATGCTGCTGAGTGCAGAGCTGTGACTGCTCTGGAGCTGAGTTATTTACAGCTCACTGCAGCTGACTTACACCATCTCCATCAGCAGGGCTGAGGGCAGAAGGAAAACCTTCTGGAATGAGAGCCAGGAGATACAAAAATCCCTCCCTGTTTTTTTCCCCCCGCTATTGTTACAAACCCTGAGCCTGAAGTCTGAAGTGGGGTTGGGGGAAAATCTGTGAAGCAGCAGGGATCTGTGGGGTGAGGTGGGCACCATGTGGGAACATGGCAGGAGCTTCTCACTTTGACCTTAAATTGTGCAATTACAGCTAAAGTCAGTTCTCCTGGTCAGCTGGAAACCAAAGAGCTCTGCCTCCCCGTGCCCAGCTCCATCCTCACAGCACTGACACAACAGGCCCTGCTGCACCTGAAACAAAAGAGCCCTTCACCATGGCCAAAATCCAGTGTCCTTGGGAAAGGTCACTGGCTGATGGCTCTGGTTTCTCCAGTCCCTGGGGCAGAGGGATTTGCAGAGCCCACCAAAGGGATTTGAGAGCAGTGCATGTTGCTGCCCAGACTTTGGTGAGGTTTTTGGCACTGTCTCCTGTGTAGGTCTGGGAGATGCAGTGGGAGAGGCACCTTCAGGAGCAGGTCCTGGTGGGGCAGGCAGAGCTCCTGGGGAGCACTGAGGAGCTGCCAGGGGGGACAGCAAGGTGCTCACCTGCCTCTGAAAGACCTCCAGAGCTGCATCTTCTGAGCTGCCGTGGCTGGCACCTGCTTAAAGCTCCCCAGGGTTTGGGTTTCATTTGGTTTTGGGTTGGTTTTTTTTTTTCTTTTAATAGTAGGGTTGATTTTCATGCTGGCTACCAGCTATCTGTGGCTTGCTGCTGCTTGCAACCAGGTTGTGGTTGCTTCCTCCCCATTGTGTATTTGGTGTTCCTCCTTCTCCACTCAAGGTTAAAGGTGTTCTTGTTGAATTTCCTCAAGTGGCTTCCTATTCCTCATTTTCTCTCTGTGCTTTGTGTGTCTCACTCATTCCTTCCTGCTCTGTTTCCTCCTGCGCTCCTCAATCCTCTTTGCTGCTCATCTTTCTGCTTTTTAATCCCTTCTCCTCCCCTGCTCTCCCTTGTCCTTTTGCTGTGCTCTGCTCTGCACCTGACACATTCCCCAGCAGCATTTGCTCTGCAAGCTGCTTGTCCAGACAAGTGATGGCTGTGATATTTACATGTCCCTCACAGTCCGGTGCACGGATGTCACCGAGGGATGACCCCTGGGGTGGCCCCTGAGCCTCCCTTGGATGCTGGTGCTCGCTCAGCCATGTCACTCCTTGCCTTGGCTCATCCAGATTGGAAAGGATGGGAAGGGGAGAAAAGGCTCTTGGCCATCAGTCACCCTTGAGCCTGCCTGGACTGAGATTTGCAGTCCATAAATCATTTATGTTTGCCTCATGTAACAGTACTGCACATTCCTTCTTCTTTCTTCTTCCTTCTTCTGCTTTTCTTCTGCTGCTGCTGCTTCTCCTGCTTCTGCTTCCTCTTCTGCTTCTTCTACTTCTTCTGCTTCTTCTCTTGGAGCTTTGCTTCAGCATGTCAAGCCCTCCCATCTGGGAGCAGGGCATATCCCTGGCTCAGGCTGTGCTCCTGGCTGGTATCAGCTAGGCAGAGCTTGAAATTTTGGTAAAGTTAGTTTTATTATTGCAACAGTGAGGGTTTAATGCTCTTTTACTTCTCATGGCTCAGTAATTCCCATGGTTTTATGGGAGTCAGGCCAAAGTGGCTGCTGCTGTCAGAGGCAGCATGGGAGCCCTGCACCCATCCAGGAACATCAGCCAAGGCTCTGGGGGCCCTTCCCACCCAAATTCCCACCAGCTCCTGACTTCCCACCCATTGCCATAGGATGCTGCTACCTAAGTGCTCCGAGGATTTTGGAGGCTGCAGAGGGATGGTGTCCCATGGTGATGTCCCTTGGCCACTAAATAAGCAGCTCGATTCTGTTGTGTTAAAAAAATCAGATAAAAATAAAGCAGAGAGTTATTCACACGTAGCGAAAAATAGATGTGGTATGTGGTGCCTGCCTGCAGCGCACTCCAGGAGTTGCAAAGGCACTAGCTGGCACTTTGGCACCAAGGGAAAGCTATTATTTATAGCTAGGCTCACTAAACCATTCCCCCAAAGGATTTTTTTCCCTTCCCTTTGTAGGGAAGCACTGTCCTTGTAGCATCACTGTCCTTTCCCTTTCCCCTCACCAGCAACACTGTACTGATTGTGCATGATGCTGTAAGCAGCACCTTTTTCATCCCTGTTTTTAAAGCAGTTGCAGGGACACATTCCCAGGAGGGAATTCAGTCAGCACTGTGCAGCCAGGGATGGATTTGATGGATCTCCCTGTGTCTGTCCCTGTGCTCCATCAGAGGTGGATGTTTGTTCCCAAGTGTGGCACTGTGCAGGTCATTTTTCAGGGGTCAGCAGCAGGGTTCTGTTATCCCCCAGCTTCCCCCACACCCTGACTTGTGTTTTAAGCACACAACATGGACATTTGAAGTCCAAAGGCATTTCGGGTGATCAGCAGAGTATAAATCCACATACTTACTAATTTATGAGTTACCCAGCATGACTTGAATAACTGATTTATCAGCACCAGGCACTGGGGAGGGGCAGGCTCTCAGGGCTGTGAGAACGAGGTTTTGGATAGCTGGGGTTGCTCTGGTGTCAGTGCTTTGGCAGAAACCTCTGTGTGAGGAGAGGGGCTGTGGTGGGGCTGTTGATGCCTTGAGAGGCATACTAGAACAGAGGCCAGGCAGAGTTACAGAATAAAGCAGGGATTTATTAAAAGGATCTCCTCAATGGATCCACCTTGGGCAGCACAAGAGCCCAGCCAGAGCTACACCCAAGATGGACCAAGATGGTCACAAAATGGACAACTGGTCATGGGGTCTCTCACTTTTATAAGTTCTGCTTCATTTGCATATTGGAGTTAATTGTCCAGTTACAGCTTTAGCCTATGAAGTCCCATCCTGCTTGTTTGTCTCTCTTCAATTCACCATTGTTTGTGCTCTTGGGTCTCAGATTTGGATCATTTGTCCTCGGTCCCCAGCTAGAGAAGGAATTGTTTTGTCTCCCTGCCCTGTGCAGAGAGCTCACCATCCCCTTATACGAAGCCCAGACCCACCCAGTAAAGCAGCACAGAATGTGAAAAATAGGAAAGCTGAACCTGTGGCATCAGTGTGAGCCCAGCAGAGCCTGACAGCCTGGCCTGTCTTGCAGCCCAGCACTTCATCGCGGCCACGGCGTGCCAGGAGGCCGACTACGGCTGGATGATCCGGCACTACTGCCTCAAGGACTTCCAGGACAGCATGGAGGGCATTGGCCAGCGCCTCTGGTGTGACTGGGGCGAGACCATGGGGTAAGTGAGCTCCCTCTGCTCCTCCCTCTCGTCCAGCTGGGATTTGGGGTGCGGGGGTGTCGGCGCTGGGGTGTATTTCACTGGGGGGAACATCCTGATGTCACTGTGCTTGGCTGCTGGTGCTGCCCTGCCTCTGTCCCTGCTGGGTCCCCGAGGGTTTCTCCAGCCTGGTCACACGTGGAGGGCTTGGAGGGGAGAGCAGTGGATGTTGTCTGCCCAGACTCTGGTGAGGGTTTTGGCGCTGCCTGTGTGTGAAGCTGGGTGAGGTGGGCTGGGAGCTGCTGGAACAGCCAAGCCAGGGGTGTTGATCGTTGGCCAAGCACTGGTTGCAGCACCCAGGGGTCACCACTGTCCTGCTTGATCTCTCCATTAGCACTGTGGGTGATGGGACCGAGGGTAACCCCAGCACCTCAGGTGACACCAAACCAGGAGGGGTGGGTGACACACCAGAGGTTTGTGCTGCTATCCATGGGGACCTCAGCAAGCTGGGAACCTCCTTAAGTTCAGCAAGGGGAAGGGCAAAGTCCAGCCCCAGGCACCAGGATGTGCTGGGGCTGCCCAGAGAGAAACCAGAAAGGGATCTGGGGGTTCTGGTGGGCACCAGGTTGAACATGAGCCAGGAGAGTGTCCTGGTGGGAAAGCCTGGGCAGAAACTGAGGCATGGGAGGTCCCCTCTGGACACCAGGAAATGTGTTTTCACTGTGAGGGTGGCCAAACACTGGCACGGATCTCCCAGGGCAGATGTGAAATTTCCATCCTTGGGGATACTATAAAACCAGCTGAACATGGCCGTGAGCTGCATGAGCAGGGGTGTTTGGACAAGGTGAAGTGAATCTCCAGAGGTCATCTCCAGCCTCAGCCATTCTGGGATTAAAGGATTTTTTCAAGGAGCCCAGCCTGAGCACGGTTTGGAAGTCAGGGTGGTGGTCATGCTTCACCACACGGCAGTGGAGCTCCAGTGCTGTGTTCTGGACATTGATGGGTTAATGAAGAGGCAGACTGGGATCCCCATCATGGGGGCTCCTGGTGCCTCACAGCTTGATGGCCATATTTCCCAGGAGGTTTTTCATTTTCCCTCAGCACTCTGGTTCTCCAGACAGTTCAAAACCCCCTAGCCCAGCGTGAAAACCCCGTAACCGCCGAGATGTCCTCAGAGAAAATCCCAAACTGCCCCACCAGAGCTGCTGGCTCAGCCCCTGCTTCCAGAAGCTGTGTGTTGATTTTTCCAAGCAACTAGAGGGAGAGGCTGGAATGGTATGGCAATGGCAGCTGCCTGCTAAGCCTCCTGTTTGTAATCAGTGTCAGGGCTGCAGCTGTGATTTACGACTTGGGAGCAGCGGAGATGCAGCCTTGCTTCCCTGGTGGAATGCTTGGGAGCATCTCTGTGGGATGAGGAGGGTGGAAGGGGATCCCTGCTCAGATCCCACCAGGGAGACTGGGGGGACACCCCACACATGTGGGGAATGTGCTGCACTGCAGGGGTTTGTTGCATTTTTTGGGGGGAATTTCCTTTGGTTTTATTTTTATTTTATTGCAAACAGTGCTTTCTGTGGATTAGTTCTTTGCTATTTATAGTCAGCAGAGCTGAATCTTTTGGTACCACCACGGTGTAAATCTGCTGAGATGGGTTTGAGAGAGGTTGAAAGACAGGTCAGGGGTGGCTGTGTGCTCGTGTGAGGGCTTGAGGGAATAACCCCCCTCTTTCCCCCTTCTGCTGACTTTCCATGTTGTGCCTTTCCATGGCCTTTCCCTGGGAAAATGAAGCAGTGGAACATGTGACACCAGTAGGGATGGGGGTCAGCTGGAAACAGGGAGCAGATGGTGCTGTATGCCATGAGTGTTTTGCACAAAAATTAAGAGGTTTTGTGAGATTTCTGTGGTTTCCTGCTTCGTGGCCCTTTCTTCTAGGTGAAATTAAAACCTACACACGTTTGTGTGTGCATCTTTCGGTCAAAGGTTGGGCTCCAGGATCTTGGAGGTCTTTTCCAACCTTAATTATTGGTTGATTCTGATATTGTAAACACACTGTTGGGTTTTCCTTCCCCTTGATCCGTGGCAGAATGGAGGGGAAGAAAAGAGAGCTGAAAGACTGTGGGAGGTTTCTAGTTTTGAGAGGCCTCATCTGGTGCTCAAAAATACCCAGGGCTGCTGATGTTGTTCCAGCCCTCAACATCTTGTTCTTTATCTCACATGTCCTGTTTGTCTCCTAAATAGCTTCAGCTGAACTCCTTACCCTTGAGGCACTTGGAGGAAATGTTGATAAGCTTTCAGGGTTTAATTTGATTGCCCCTTTGCTCCGTGCAAACACATGGCTCAGGGTTATTTGAGAGATGACATTCCTCTATCCTCTTGTGCCCTCAGGACAGTGGAAGAATTGGGTAGAAATTGTTCAGTTACTGCAGTAAATCAGCTGCTAGGATATGGGGTTTGGGTGGGCTCAACATCTTGCTCCCTGGATGTGTGGGGAATCACCATCCCCTTTTTGGGGAAAGAGATGTCCCAGCAGGAGTGGGCAGGGGGTGGCATAGCTGGCTGGTCACCCCTCCGGCCCTAGGGGAAGGATTTTGTCTTCCACCAGGTGTGAGACAAAGAAATGGAAATAAAGCACCTGCCTAGAGCCTGTTTTCTCCAGATTTTCCCCCAAACTAAGGCATTTCAATGCTTGAAACCTGTCTGAAACCAGGAGGAATGTTGGGAGCTTCTGCCTCTGTACCACCCGCAGCAGCATCGTGTTTGGAGCTCTGATTTCCTGGATGCAGCATTTAGCAGGGAAATGCCCCGAAGCTCCATCATTTCCTGCTCAATTGAGGCTGGCACGATGGGAACATCTGGATAAATGAATTGTCTCAGCAGAGTTTGTAATCCTGGGTCACTGGTCCTATTTATAGGCAGCACATGCTGCTCTGTGGATGGGTTTAGTAGTTGGTGTGCAGGTTAAACAGCTGAGTTAACAGAAGAAGAACTTGATAAAACAAAGAAAGTAAAGAAGTTTTCTTCCTGTAAGACAAAAAGTTTAACACATAAACTGCTTTGTCTAATCTTACCTAGGGGGTTCCTCCTTATGCTGCTCCCATCTCACCTTCAGCGGCATCAGCTGAGCTCCTGCACCACTGCTCCTGTTCTGATGCAACCAGGGGCTCTCTCTGGGAAGGTTTTTCCACCCCCTTGAGCTCTGCTGGCTTTCTTAGCATTGCTTATTTTGGAAAATTGGTGGATTTTGTCATACAAGTTCTTCTCATGGACTGAGGGAACTTGTGTGAGCTGTTGGCCACTTTGGCTGCCCTGGGACTCAAAACCCAGACTGGAGCTGCATCTTGGGATCTTTGGTGTCAAGGGCTCCTCCGTTCCGTGCTGGTGGCCGAGCTGCTTTGGCCAGGAGCTCATCTGTGCCCGATGAATTATCCCAAAGAGCAGCTTGGCTATTTTGATTCCAGCTTCATTGGCGTGCTGGCTGAGCCAGGGGGATTAGCTGTGGTCTCCCTTGAGGCAGCTATTTCAGGGATGTGGGGGCTGGGGTGCCACTGCCCAGCCCCAGTGCGTCAGCAGGCGCTGATGACTTGGGGATATTTGTCCTGCTGGCTTTGGCTGGAGGGCCCTGCCAGGGAATGGATTTGCAGGAGGGTTTGTGCACAGGGGGATGCTCAGGGTGCCGAGCGCTGCCACAGCTGCGGGTGTCACTCCGGCCCAGCCAGGCATCTTCACCCCAAATATATCCACGCTGTGGCATTCCTGAAAATCTCCATGGAATGCTTTCCCCTGTCCTGCAGGAGGGAGCTCACCAGGGGGATCGTGGTGCTGCTCTGACAGCTGCAGCCAGGGATGGAGCTGCTCTCCCAGCTGTCAGCACACTCACACTCTGTCTTCAGGTTATTTCTCCATTATTTACAGAAAGCAGATTGATCCATTCTCTTATTATCTCATTATCTACTTACTTATCTTCAGCTTGCCAGGTCCCTTCTGGATACCCCTTTAGCCTGGCTCCAGGCTCTCCTTGCAGAGGAGGAAATCAATGTTTTCTTTTAATTTGCAAAGCAGAAGTGAAGCCTTGTGGTGTTCTCTTTTTTCCCTTCTGAAGCAAGGAATTGAGGAAGGACAGGAAATACTGGGATACTCACGGTGAAAGAGAGAGCTGTCAATCCTGTGAAGCCCAGTCCTAGTGCAACACCATCCACATCCAAGTGCTGTCAAGGAATAAATGCCAGAGCCAATTCCAGTCTTCGCTGCAGTGGTAAAAAACCCCAGAGGAATTCCTTAGGATTTATAGCATTATAAGCATTCAGATGCCATCAAACCCTAAATCATTCTTTGACTCCTTCCCAGAAGTGGCCTGGCCCATCCCCATCCTGCTGCCCTTCATCCCCACACAGTCCATCCACAGCATCCTTTAAATCCAACCCATTTCCATGGTGACAGGGACAACAGTTTTAACTGCAGTTCACATTGGGTAGGGAAAAAATATTCCAACGTACAGCCAAGATTTTCAGGGCCAGGTGTCTGTCTCCTGGCAGTGGTGGGATTGTTTGGGAAAACTTGCCCTCCTCCCAGGGCTATCCTCGAGCGGCTGCTTAATATTTTTGTGGAGGAGATGGCGTTTGGGAGGTGGAGGCTTGCAAACAAGCTTTGGGCTTGTCTGAAAGCCAAAAGCTTGACTCCAGGCTTGCTACAGGCAGAATGGAAGCTTGGAAAAAAGTTTGTTAGGGAGGCCCTGCTGTTGAGTCAGGAGATGCAGAAAGGACCCCCTAGCTTCTTCTGTTTCCTGGGGTGGGGTCTGGGTATGGCTGCATCCAATTATTTCCTACATAGCATAGGAAGTTATATATATTGCCCTGTTTATTGAAACAATATTGAAGCAAAGCTGTTAAAATGAGCAAAATAATTATGGAGTAGAGATTGCTGTTACCTGTGTGGGCAAATCCATGACCCCCCCTTCTCCATCCATGCATGGGAACTTTCACAAACAGGGTAAAGTTTGAGCTGGTTTACCCTCACTTGGGTAGAGCATTCTCTCTCCAGGGAGTTCTGACTCTGTGCCTCAGGATCATCCTTGCAGCCTGAGGGGCTTGGCTCAGCCTGGTGGGTGTGGGGGGAACACGGTGCTCTGGGGCTGGGCTGGGGGGTGGCAGAGCTGAGCAGGAAAACAGCCCCCCCCCCCCCTGAGGTATTTCACCAGCAGCCCAGGCTGAATTCCCAGTGGGAGCAGGCTGGCCTGGAGCTGTCACAGGAACGTGACCCTGCTCTGAGCAGAGAGAGAAGCAGAGAGAGAAGCAGAGAGAGAAGCAGATGCTGTTTTGGAGAGGCAGCGGGACACACGTTCACTGCTGTGAAGAGCAGGGAAGAGCACACACAGGCCCAGGCATCAACACTGCTGCTCTCCTGATCCTGATCCTGATCCTGATCCTGATCCTGATCCTCATCCTGATCCTGATCCTGATCCTGATCCTGATCCTGTCTGACAGGGCAGTGTGAGCAGCCTGGATCCAATGGTTAACCCTGGTTATCCCTTCCCAGCCAAAGGATCCTGCTGGTATCCTGCTGTGGCAGGAGAAGGCCCCAGTGCCCCGTGCTGGGTGCATTTGGGATGGACAGGAGGTGATGGAGTCTCACAGGGCCGTCTGGGGGTCTGTGAGGTGCAGTGGAAGAAATGAGAGCACTTGGGTGTAGCTGAGAGCTCAGCTTGGCTTTTAGCTCTTCGTGGATGAAGTGTGATGATCAGGTGTGCTCTGTGTAAGCCAAGGGCAGAAATCGGCTCCTCAGCAGCACCCAGCCTTGCTCTCCCCTGGCCAAGAGCTCAGCAGCCCTCAGTGTCACTTCTGCACTTGGACCTGGTCCTGAAAACAGGTTATTTCCCTCCCACTCACTCCCCACTGGCCTCTGGGGCGTGTGGGGTCCGAGGGGGAGAGTGCCCGTGATGCCCCCTGCTCCTGCTGGGCATGCATTTGGGGCAGGGGGACGGGACTTCAATGAAAACAGCAAAAATAGAAGGGACAAGAGACTTAGGGTGTCTCAAGCCACCCCATTAAGGTGGAGGGACCTCCCTCCAGTCATAGCCCCATGGTCACCTCCCTGTCCCCCCACACTGCCCGTGTCCCTCAGGCCCCTCCTCATGTCCGGAGGTGGCAGAGTGCTGGAATTTGGCTGGAAAGGGCAGTGACAGTTTGGCTGGAATTTGGCTGGAAAGGGCAGTGACAGTTTCTCCTCTCATTTGCTGGCACTGCTGCTTTGGTTCCTTGCATGCCTTCCCATGCAGTGATGGGAGCAGTGATTTATCCCCACGGAAGTGCAGCTGGAGCCAGGGAAGGACTAAGCCAGCTGCACTATGGCCCTTCAGCTTTAAAAATAGCTTTCATTTGCCTGCTAACACTTTCCCTCTGGCTCCTGAAGATGCTGCAGCTCCCAAGATCTCCTAAGGATGCTAATGAACGGGAAATGGTAATTTTGCACATCGGGATGCTGAGCAGAAGCTGCTTTTAGCAGCTGCAGGCTCTGTTAATTAAATCTCTGGCTGTGTGGGCACAGCCTGCCCCAAAACCCCAAGCCCCAACTGAGGAGCTGTGCTGGGGCTGTGGAGAGGGGCTGGGAAGCTGCTTTTAAAATATTTCTTCCCCCAGGCAGGTTTTTAATTGGAGAGCCGGGGTTTGCTTTGCTTTGCTTTGCTTCTCTAGGATTAGACGGTGACTAATTGGGATGGTGGGGGAAATTGTATCTTTGTTTTTATGCATGGCCAGTTTTAAAGCAGGGAGGGTTTAGGTGTCATTTTTAAAGCAGGGGGAGTTTAGCTGTCATTCCAGAGGGTGGTTGGATGACCTGGCACAAGGACTCAGGGCTCTGGCTCAGGGCTGCTCCTGCTTCTCCAGGTATTTTTTTTAAAAATGGAAAAATTGACTTGCTGGTCCTAGAGGGGTGGGCCTGCCCAACTGGTTTCTATGCAACCTCCTCAGTTTTAGGCAAATAAAAGGAGCTTACAAGTAGGTTCAGTGTACTTTTTTCTGTCTTCTTTGGACTGAACTCACAGAGGCTGGAGGATGGTGCTTGAAGGCCGAGTTGGGATGGGTTTCCTGAAGGTCTGCTTAAAATGGGTCTGCCCTGTATGTTCTAATAGCACCACTTTGGCCGGGAAATTCTGCAAAAATTAATGCAATCCAGACAAAAAAACCTCCAAACTTGGTGTTCCTGTAAATACTATTTCTGTTTTCATTTCCTTCTGTAAATTAAACCACCACCACATAATTCATAAATGAAAACTGCTTTTGGCTGTGAGTGAGCACTTGAAAGTTGCCACCCAAGTGTCAAAACTGGTGGGAATTTAAAACACCCTTTTACCTTTTTACCTCTCTGCCTGTGAACTCAAAATCCCATATATTTTTATAGGTTATGAACATTTCCAAAAACCTGCTATATATTTTTATAGGGCTAGGAATATCTAACTGCAAACTCAAAAGAATAGCTAAAAAATGTAAGAACACGTATCTGTAGTACAATCTCAAGTACACGCCTCTGTAATAGAATATAATATATTGTACAGGGTGGGATATATTGTAGTAATGATACGATATTTAATATATATATTGGGTGTAGGATATATATAATTTATATATGTATGGGATGTATATTGATATTACATTTATTATAAATTATATTGATATTACATTTAATATAAACTATATCTTGTACAGGGAGGGATATATTGTAGTAATGATACGATATTTAATATATATATTGGGTGTAGGATATCTATATAATGTATATATGTATGGGATGTATATTGATGTTATATTTATTGTAAATTATGCAGTATCTATTTTGTATTTTATATACGCTATATTAATGGATCCGGTACTTCCTGCTGTACGGGGGGACGGTGCCAGCCGCTGTCACAGCCGCTGTCCCTGTGTTTTGCAGCACCTACGGGGAGCTCACCAACTGCACGGCGCTGATCGCCGAGAAGCTCGACTGCTACTGGCCCAACCGGCTGGTGGACGAGTTCTTCGTGGCCGTGCACAGGCAATACTTCAGGAACTGCTCGCCGTCGGGCCGGGCGCTGCACGACCCGCCGAACGGAGTGCTGTGCCCCTTCATCGTGCTGCCCGTGCTGGTCACGCTGCTGATGACGGCGCTCGTGGTGTGGCGGAGCAAACGCAGCGAGGGCATCGTGTAGGGGCGGCGCGGCCGGCAGGGGAGGGGCGGGCGGGACTCCCCTGAGCTCGGGAAGAGCCGCAGCACGGAGGGTGGGAGGGTGGGAGCCCCGGGCAGGGCCGGCCCCGCCGCCGCCGCTCCTCCGGCCGAGTGCCCGCCGGTTCCCGGCCCGGCGGCGCTGAAGCGGAGCTGGCTGCGGAGCGCCGCTCACCCCGCGCCCGCCCGGCTCGCCGAGCAGGGAATTTCAAAGGGAAAAAAAAAAACAGGGCCGTGTGGGGAGCTGAAATCCTGCCAGCCCCGTGAGACCAGCGGGTCTGGGTGTGCCTGAACATCCGCGGCTTCCTCTTTGTCCTGTGGGTTCCCGCACGCGTGAAAAGGCATCTCTTCCCCAGCCCCCGCCACAAGGACCGCGTTTTGCCTGGGAGGTGGGGAACGACGGGGAAGGGGTGGCACCGCTGGTGCCCTGGGGCTACTAACAAGGAATGGGAATAAGGTGCTTTTCCTACCTAAATAAATAAACACGAATAAACCAGGTGAAGCCTCCCCCTCGGTGCCCTCATTCTGTGATGCCAGAGACCCCCGGTAGTGCTGAGCCCACGCCACGAGCCCTGGGTGGGCACTGGGGAGGTCCCTGGTGTGGGTGGGCAGCTCCAGTGCAGGGACGCCGGGCAGCACCTGGGATGGGGACCCCAAGCCCACCCTGACAGCTCCGGTCCGCTCCAGACCCCTTCAGTGCCCTGCTGGCTCAGGAAGGGCTTCCCTGGGGACACCCAGCCGCTGTTTACTCCTGACTCACATTTCCCAAAAACACCCCAAAACCTGGTGGGATGCCCAGCCCTGTGCCGGCCCACCCAGCCCAGGCCCCCTCTAACCCAAACCAGTCTACGATTCTGGCAGAAGCGCAAGTTAGTTGCACCTATACAAATACACATAAAAATACATATAAACAAATATATATTATGTAAATACATAACCCTTCCCCCCCCAAATCTCCTTGCCTTCAGGAAAAACTCAGTTTATTTTCCTGACTGTGAGGTGCTGAGATCTAGGATCCTCCCCCCCGCCCCGTGTCCTGGATGAGCACAAACCAATGCTCAGACTTTCTTGTACAGTATTTAACAGTATCCAAACTTTATTATTCTGCTCATCTCCTCCAGGCAAGCAACAATACAGGGAAGGGTGAGACAGGATTGTTCTGGGAGGCAGGGATGGCTTTGATGGCTGCAGCTCTGTGCTCACAGGGCTGCCTGGCTCCCCTGAGCAGCACCCTGGCTTTGCTGAGCCATCCATGGGGACATCCCAAGAAATGAGGGCTGTGACCCCTCCTCCTGAAGGATGGGACAGTACCAGCGTGCCTCTACAGCAAGAACTACTTTGTTACACCAACCTGGTTGAGTTTTTGACTCAAGAATAAGAGAATCCTTCGAATGCCGTAAGTAAAATCCAGATGGATTTCCAACCTTGCCATTTCTGTGAGTGTTTTACCCCTACCTTTGCTGACACATCTGTTTTGGCAGCAGAGATCTCTCACTGCATGTGCCTGCTGAAAAGGCTGATCCGTGTTTCCCTGAACAGTGCCTGCAGGTGCAGCTCTCCTCCTGCGTGCCAGCCCCTGCATTTCACCTCCCTGCTTTCCCAGGCCTCCAGCAACAGCTACAGGAGCTGGTGCAGCTGCAAAGAAAAAGGCACAGGGAAACTCAACACACACGTTTCACGCTTACAGTTTGCGCCCAGCTCTGCTGTGCTCTTGAGGAGATTGTTTTCATTTCCTCTGCAGCAGAGGAACAGCAGGAGAGAATGGAGGGGGAATAAAACCCCAACAGTCAAAGCCCAAGTGTCACACACACGCTTGCTACTGCATGAAAGCACACAAACATTTATTTCCTGGTTTGTAAAGCTCAGCTGGGCTCCATCTGTGTGATCCCAGTCCTGGAGGATGCTGAGGGAACCCTGGCACACGGGCTGAAGCCTCTCCTCAGCAGCTCTCGGAGCCACCCAGCTCCTTACAGAAAAGGCAACTGCAGCATCACATCCTCCCAAATCAAGAAAGCCAAAGTGTGCACCGGGGGGGAAATGTGTTGTGGTTCCAGCTGTGTCATTCCCTTTCAGTGCAGGAATCTGGAGAACACAATTAGGTGCTCTCCAGGCAACAGTGCCTAAATTTATCTTCATCAGATCAAACAGCATCTGATGCTCCCTCACCACATCCAGACTGGAAAGCCAAAAGCAGATTTCTTTTTAAAAAAATCTCCCTTTCATTAATTTTTTCACAGAAATAGATAATATATATTTTATATATATATATATATATATATAATTTTACTAATACTAAACATGTACTTAAGTTACATATTAGCATGTATTTTTTTTAACTACTTCACACAATGAATAGAAACAAAAAAAAACCCAAAAAGACTGTAGCCCAAATAGAGCCTAAATTAACAATGTAATAATTCCAAACTGACAAAAACATACTTACATTAAACAGCATCGAGAACTTCAACACCAGAAGTAGAATCTCATTTTGCACTTCCACTCTGGCAAGCTCTAAGCCTCAGCTGAGTGACTCTTAGAAAAAGCTCATATTGTTTCTGCTCATCAAAGGCAACAGTTTTGTGATTTGGTTCACAGGAGACCATTTATTGCCAACTCAAAGTGTTCCAAAAACACGCCACCTTTTCTGCTTGGTTTGTTTGGGTTTTGGGTTTTTGTTTTTTTTTTCCTTCCCTCCCTCCAGATTAGGCAAGTGTTTAAAATAAAAAAGTGTAATTACAATTTCAATAGTGACGTCTTTCAACTTCTCAAGCGTATCTCATCAACAGGATATACAGTACAGTTCAGAAGAGTAAACATTTGTAAAGGAAGCAGACAACTTTTTCAACCGACAGACACAATTTCTTGCCGTATTTATGCTGAACTCTCCTTTGAACATGGACAGGTTATGAAGTTAGTTTTCTTCTTCAGTACAACATGGACACAGGACTGGTACAACCCGGGCTGTTTGGCTGCTGTTGGATTGAGGACAGCTCTGGAGCCGTGGTCCTGCCATCCGTCCCCCTTCATCATCTCGCGTAGCGCTTAATGTAATCTTCAACTTTATTGCGGAAGTCCTCCTGGGGGGAAGCACAGCACGGTTACCCGGCACAGCAGGGATGGGCTCCCAGGGCAGTGAGCTGCTGGAGCCCCACGCTGCCTCTGCCAGCTGCCCCAGCTCTCCCCGAGGCCTTACAGGGACTGCACCACAGAATCTCCACTGGGCAAAGAAGTGCAAGAGTCTGTCTGCCATCACCAGCTACAGCTCAGGTGCACAAAGCCTGCCTGCTATTCCATAGCCTCTGTACCCAGGGAAAACCACAGAGTTCTGGTAGTTTGTGCTTATAAAGCACAGAGATGCTGAGCAAGAGAAATTCTGACATGGTGTGATCCCTGTTCAAGCAGGGATGCCAGGCAGACACCACATTCCTGGCATGTTATTCTCCCAGCCTGGTATTAAATATGTTCGCCCCAAACACACCGAGGGGCCTGTGCTCCAGAGTGCATTTCCAGCTCCCATTTTTGTGTGCTGCTAGAATATAAAGCAGGAAAACCTGGGAAGTTTATGTACTCACATCTGTTGAAAAAGAAAACAACTGAAAAAACAATGCATGCAGTAGATGAGGAGATTTTGAACACTGTCCTGGTACACTGGAGATGCCTGGAGAGCAAAGGCCATGGAAGCACTGAAATCCTCTGCCAAGGCTCTGCTTTTACTAGGAAGGGCACAAAATCCCACTGCCTGAACCTGTGGGAGCACAGCAAGGCACGCTCCTGCTTCAAACAATGCCACTTGTCAGCTCCAGGTTTGCCAATACATAAAATGATGCCTTTCAAACACATCCCAAGTGTCTTGGCACAGACCACCCAGAGCTGGACATCACAGCACACCAGGAAGGGGCGATAATATGACCATTGTGCCTCAGTCAAGCTTGAAATACATCAGTATTTCCCTGGCTCCAACATCACACTTCAAACGCTTAAGATCAGCTCCCCCCTTGTGATGGTTTGGTTTTCTGCTGCTGAGTTTTTCCACCAGTGAAGGGATAAAGGTTATCCCGTGGTTAAAATCCAAAAGGATCAAAGAAAACCTATGACCCACGAGAAACTCTGTGATTTCATTTTCAGCTGATCAAGTGCATCACAGATGTCCATAAAAGTGCAAAGTGCTCAGAATCTCAGTGGAACTTAAGGCCAGAAATATCCTATTGCAAACAGGGCTGCAGAAATCCCAGTCCTCCTTAGGAACAGGCTGCCTGCTCTTCTGGGGTGAAAGAGCAGCTATTTTGGTCCAATATGGCACCTACTAATGGCAATAGTGTGTGTAGTGACTTTCCCACTCTGCTGCAAGCCCACCCATTTCCACACTTATCCAGCTGTGTGCTGTGTTAAAAAACTAACACTACAAAGCTAATGCCATCTTCAGCTGCAATAAAGTTCCCAAACCCAGGCAATTTCAGTTCATAGATGCAGGTTATGATTGCTGTGGTGCAAACTGAATTCACTGAGGGCTTCTTGCACATTGTTTTCTGTGGGAAATGGATTTGTAGAGAATTCTCCAAGCCTGACAGAAGGCTCACAGATCTGCATGTAAACCTTGAGATAAGGAATGCTGACTTAGAAATGCCATGGAACAGGACAGACATTGTTGAGAGAGAAATGGAACTAGAAAGGAGTTTCAAAGGATGGCCTTGCAAATAACCTAGATGCTTTGGAGAAATAGAACTATGAAAGATGCACTGGAGTAGGACCCACGAGGGGTAATTTTAGATTATTTGCTCTAAGGCATCTACAGCAAGGTGTGGCAAAAGCTGATAGGCCAAGAAACACTTATAGGGTATTGTAATTAAAAAACAGCTTCTGATTGTCTTGGGGGAATTATAACATCTGTATTGTCTCACCCTTCTCATGAGACTGGAAATGGAATAAAAGTTTTTAAAACATGTCTCAGTTGCCCCATCTCTGGTCAGGAAAGGGCATCATCTGAGAGTTTCCTACTCCTGAGTTTCTCCAAAAGAAGGATCACTACAAGGAACTGAGCACAGGGCTGGGAAACAGCACTGGACACACACACACCTGTACAACATCCAAGAGCAGGGCGGTGCAGACAGCTCAGAGCACCCCTGGCTTTTCCCTCTGTCCCTACTGAGTTATTTATTGCACAGGGACCTGGGCTCTCCCAGTGCCTAAGAGAAGCAAAAGCTCAGTGAGGAAGGCAGAAGGCCCCAGGAAGGCCATTGTCACTCAGCAGCCCGGGCTGAAGGAGCTGTGCTGTTGGCAGGGATGCATTCACAGGGAACTCACTGTGTGTGAGTGAACAGGAGGGGCTCAGCCCAGAGCTGCAATATTCCATCCTCACCTGCCATATGGCTCCTGATTAATGGGGGACACTTCTCTCTGGGCACAGCTGCTTATGTGCAACACTGAATAATCAGAGGCAAAAAAAAAAATCAGCAGAGCAGGATGTACCCTGCATTATAAAGAGGCAAAATCCTGCTAGAAATGAGAAGGGAAAGGATTCCTGACATCCCTTCAAGGACATAACATGTCCCACAGAAAGTGTCCTCTGTATTTAAACAAAGATGTTTTGTTTGTACAAAGAGGTTTAATAAATAACCTTTACATGAATAAACATACATAAAATAAACAGGACAGGGGACAATGATCTTAAATGGATAGAGAGAAGGTTTAGATGAGGTATTAAGGAAGGAATTCTTCCCTGGCAGGCTGGGCAGGCCCTGGCACAGGGTGCCCAGAGCAGCTGTGGCTGCCCCTGGATCCCTGGAAGTGCCCAAGGCCAGGTTGGACGGGCTGGGAGCAACCTGGGACAGTGGGAGGTGTCCCTGCCATGGCAGGGGTGGCACTGGACAAGCTCTGGGGTCCCTTCCAACCCAAACCATTCTGGGGTTCTGCGATTGTATTTAGGAGCACTTGGGAGAGGATCTGTAGAGCCTCAACCCCAGAAGAGAATTCCATTCTACCCTCTCAAAAAGCATGTAGAAACACACACTCAAGAACTAGGCACTGTTTCAAAAACTGACATTTGACCTGATTTGGCAGCTCTGGGAGAGGAGACTTCATTTTTTCAACTGTTTATACTGCACCAAGTTACGCTTATTAACTGCTTGTCTTTTACTAAGCTTTTAATTTGTAATTTGCTCAGTTATCCAAAGCAAACACAATACTTTGGTGACATCTACAAGAGCAGTCTGGAAAAGTTCTGAGGGAAACTCCCTTGGGAATATTTTTTATTTATTTAAAACAAATTATGTATAAGGATTACCTAAAAATAAAATTTAAAAATATGTATTATAAAAAAAACCCCACAAAAACCCAAGCAGATTTAGCTCATTTATAACCCTTAACATACCATCTACTGGTACTTCACACCCTGCACTATTTGGAAAGTCCCTGTAGGAAAACCTGCAGTTTAACACATCTGTCCCTCTATTGTGACTACAGCCACCAGATACTGTGATGAACTTTCTGATCTACCTTCACATCCTTCAGATGCACAATCCTGTCAAATTCAAATGGAGATAGAAGAAGATCACAGATAACTGCTCCTGCCCTTCCCTCTCCTGTGCTAGTAACCATAATAGTAGCAATTATTTTTTTAAAAGCAGCTCTATTTTAACAGAACACGATCTCAACATTTATTACCAAGGTGAAATTCCAAACAACTTCTGCTAGGACCTGACTTGTGGGTCTAAAGTGATTAGGAAAGGGGACTTCTGAGCAGCAGTAAAATGGCATTCATTACTCAGCTCAGCCAAGGCTTTAGGATTTAATAACCAGGTAGATCTATGCATTAGCCCTATGAATTATACTGAAAGCCACCTTTTCTTTCTTTTCCCCCTTGGAGAAAATAATAAGTACTCACACCCATCAACCCCCACATATCCCCTCCCATTTAAGAAGGAGGTGAATGAAACCTTTGAGTAGTACAGAAATCTCAAGTATGAGGTCGTTTTTTACAATTCTTGTTCCTACCTTGCTCTCATTTTCCTCTCATTGTTTTGTTTAGCTCAGTCTCTACACAGTGGGAAGAGTTTCCCAAGCTCTGTAATTAAATTTCAGTTCTCAGAAGAAAGAGAAGAGTGGGGGTGAAAAACATATACAAAGGTATCTCTGCTTAGCAGGTGCAGTCAAAGCCACATCCATTTTCATGGCCTGTGATCCCAACTGCAGATTTTTAAAATTCTCCTAGACACCAAGCAATTGTCATTTTGCAAAATGATGAGGAAATGTTTTAGCAGATTTCTTAGTAGCCAAGTCCTAAGGGGGGGGAAGGTGAAATTTTTACTGCAGGAAAAAAAAAACCAACAACAACCAAAGCCAGAACACACTACTGCAGCTATTTGGAAAAGAGCACCTTTGTGAGGAAGATGAGAAACACTAAGGTTTGGACTTTTTTTTAAATATCTGCACACAGAGGTAGGTTACAGAACTGCAGTGGGAAGCACTGACCTGCCTGCCAGGACAGAGAGAAGCTGAAGATGCCTTGCAGAGACACAGCAATTCATTGACATACTGAGCACATTTGCACTTGTTTAAGAGTTCACATCTTAAGCAGGAACCATTTCCCTCATGCTTCCACAAGTTTTCTGCTGTCTGCCACTGGAGAAAGATAAAGGGAGAGAACGACTCTCTCAAGTTCCTAGATAAGATAAATACACCTAAATCCTGTTTGTGTAAAACCAAGAGAATTGAATCAGATGAAGAGAGCAAAGCAGCTTCCCAAAGAAAAAGGTGCCCTGGATCAAATGCAATGTGAGTCCAAAACCCCCATGGGGGCTGGATGGAGATGGAGCTCTGCAGAGTCCTCTGGGGCCAAAGGGATTTGCCCAGACTGCCACAGGTCTCTTACTGCCATTTAAGGTTTCACCTGGGCTGCTGAAAACAGAAAATGGGAATTAACCCAGGGAGCAGAGACTGCTGGGTGCCTCAGTCCAGGAGTCTCCTCTGCTCCTCCAAGGCTGGCCCAGGCAGTGATCACCTTGCCAACTGTGGCAAAGGGTTACACAAAAGCCCTGCAGGACAATTACCTGAATTATCCCAGTTACTCTGAGGTCAACCT